ATATCACAAGGCATTTATTTAAAAAATTGATATCTTCTCTAAAACAACAATCAGAATAGTTTAAAGGAAGGTATATGAAATTTATATAAACTAATTAATATTGTTAATTTTAATTCTCTTTTAATTTGTGTGATTTTTTTATTTAAAGTTTTCATCTTATTGAAACTTTTAAAGTTGTCCAAATTATTCAAAATATTTTATAACATTGTTAAAATTAAAAAAAAAACAAGCACCTCTTTTAGTCGAGCATATCTTGACGTAAATGTATTTAGGAAAGTTTTCTGTATGGTATATACTATTTTTTTTAGATATACATATCTTTTTTCACTTTTATTTTTTAATATTTATTGTTTTAACGAAAACATTCTAAAAAATCTGAAGTGTTCAACACATGACTTTCGGATCTAGTTATTACAGGCTTTTTCCGGCTATTTTGTACAACCTATTGCAGTACCCCTATAAATGTTTAGAGGATAAACTAAATATATTGTTACGCAGCACCCTGCAGCGTGCTGCGGTCGTCATAAGTAAAGGTACGAGTAAATGAAGAAGATAGAATAGTCCAGAAATGTCTCGAAATGTCATTCCTTGTCAAAATAAAGTCCGGATTGTTCGAGAAGGTTCTAGAAGGTTGAGGCAAGCTATACGACCTGACGTCAGATTTCAGTTTTATGATAGACGTTAAACGTTAATGTTATCAGTTGGATAGTTATTGTTAAAGTTAAATTTAAGTTATTGTAAAGGTTGAATTAAAACCTGCGTAATAATATACATTTTCCATATACATCTAACTAGAAACATTTTTTTATAGATATTCATTGAAAACGAAAATACTAAAAAATTAAATTTATCACTTTTCCATTACGGTCCATTTTAGAAAAATCATGTAAGAAACAAAAATTATAGAGATCGATATTGCAAACTTTTAGTTTAACAACTTTCTTAAATATCAGAATTACGCACATTTTGTCAAATTTCTCGAATACGGACCATTTCAGGAAAATTTGGCATAAAGCAATAAGCAAAAATTATAGATATTAATATTAAAAGTAACTTTTATCTGAACAATGTTCTTCTCCAAACATAAATAACAGATATATTCCATAAAATATAGAAGCGACCTCCTATAATGTACCCCCCAGATGTTCCCACTTTGTCCAAAATTAGGCCGAAATAAAAATTAATTTGAAAATTTAATGTGTTTTCCTTTATCCGTTTTTTTGAGTTTTCTTCAAAATTCGAAATTTCCACATTTTCTCAAATATCTCGAATACAGTTCATTTTAGAGAAATTATGTATAAAATAAAAATTATAGAGAATTATATTACAAACAACTTTTATTTGAATAATTTTTATAAAAAATTAATTTTTTTACATTTTGTCAAATTTCTTGAATACGGAAGATTTTAGGAAAATTTTATATAAAACAAAAATTATAGATAATAATATTATAAGTAACTTTTATTCGAAGAATTTTCTTTTACAAACGTAAATAACAGATATATTTCATAAAATATAAAAATGACCACCCATAAAGTACCCCCAGATGTTCCGACTCTACCCAAAATCTAATCAGTTCACTGGAGGCCGAAATAAAGCTAAAGTTTATAATTTAGTGTTTTTCTTTGTATCCGTTCATTAGTTATCGAGGACACACACACAGACAGACATCATCGCGAAAATAGTCAAAACGGATTCAGGGGACCCCAAAACGTAGAAAACTCGAGGTTGAAAAAAATCATGAGTCCTATACTTTCCTTATCTGTATAAAGATAGGATAGTAAAAATGATCCATAGTTCAAAATTAATCACGTATTCATTATTTCTAGAGCGATCTTCAGATCTTCTAATCTTCCAATCTTCCAAGTAAAAAATGAAAATAAAATTCCATGAAAGATAAATATGACAAATAAAAAGATTCGAAAAAATATGCATTTTCGAGAATTTGTCTCATTTTTTTTTCCAATCTGAAATTAAGTAAATTACGTGTAAATATAATGCGGGATTAAATTTCTGTTATCGAACGCTGTCCAAATAAATGTTAATTGTTTTATTTAAACGATTTAATTATTATTGTGCATTATGATTGGTAATGCACATATCAAGGTTATTGTGACGAGTTGCAGTAAGTAAAGAAAACAAATGGAAATATTTTAATAATAGGTATCTAAATGAAAAAATTTTCATCGGAAGAGTACCTACTTAGTGTTTTTCAGCAGAAATCTAGTTGACAGTTTTTACAAAATGCACTGTATATCAGTGTATTGTTCCAAATACAATAATTCTGAAAAAAAAAAATAGTTTTTCAATAAAGCTACCACCGAATAAATTGAAATTAAAAAGCATTGATATTTCTTAATATCTGCAATTCCAATTATGAATTTTAGTGACCAATAATTTATAAACAAGTTATGAAAATAATTTTAAAAAACCGACTCCAAAATCGTGCAAATGCCAATACAAATTGAGTTTGCTGATTTTATTATAGATCCCATCATTAGATCTTGACCAAATGTATATTATGGGACCACTCCCGAGGTACAGCCTTTCTAAAACAAAAAAAGAATCATAGAAATCGGACAAAGTGGTAAAGAATTATCGCTGAATATACATAAAAAATGGGAGCACCCCTGAGCATAGGCGCAACCACACGAGGGCAAGTAGGGCGTCACCTCCTACCCCTGGATTTGTGATGTTTGATTTTTCGTCATGCTTTCGACTAAAGCCTGCGGCGTTTTGACCCATAAGGATTTCCCTTTATAACAAAAAAAGAATCATCGAAATCGGACAGCGTGGTAAAGAATTATCGCTAAACAGTCCAAAAAAAAATATTCAGAAGAATTGAAAACCTCCTCCTTTTTTTGAAGTCGGTTAACATGCGAAAACTTGAAAGTCGATAATTTTGCAGCGATTATAGAAATTTACTGTTCAGTAGGCTATGAGCTCCCCCAGAGTCATCACATCATAAAACCTATGCTAATAAGCGGTGCAGTTGTCTCGTTGTCTGGGTTTCAAACTCTTAACAGTTAACATTTTTTTGCAAGCTAAAACAAATTCAAAGAACAACATGTCTCAACATAACAGGAGCCATGAAAACCACATTAACCAGAGCCATGGAAAGCATTCTTAGTCTTAATCCCTTTGAAATTTACATCAAGGAGATTGTTCTGATGACAATGACATGACTCCGGACATCGCTTTTGGCGGTAGGTGCTCTGCTTTAAACAAACATGGACTCCATCTCACCGAGATGTATCTTTCATAAGCCATATTACGGAACAAATAGAAGAGCTGGAAGTGACAGATACGATTCATATCTACACCGACGATTCTAAAACAAAAAAGGCTCAAGATGTGGAATATACTCTAGATCCTTATACCTTTAAACCTAAACATGAAATGAGCTGTAAGCATTATTGCCAGTGTAGTTTAAACCGAACTCATGGTCATTATCATAGCAGCAAAAGAAGTTATGAGAAACAATATCACTGGAAGAAACATGTCCATCTGTACAGATTGCAGAAGTACTACTAATCCTAGACAGAACACGAATTTACTCAGGATTAGCATTAGAATGTCACGAAGCTTTTTCCGAAGTATCCATCAACAATGTGGCCACCTTAAGATGGATTAAAGGTATCACGATATCGAATGATAACCGTCTTGCTGATTCATTAATCAAGAAAGCAGCCAACAACATCGGTAGTAACAAACCTAATTAAAGAACATTTCCTTGTGAAATTCAAGAAGTTGTAGAATGTCCAGGTAGCTTTTAAGTTATCCCAACAACACTACAGCAAACAGATACTTGACTATAACTAGACAGAATCTACGCCTGATCACAGACATTCTGACTGGTCATTGCCAAGTACAGAAGTACCTCCATGATACTCTGAAGGGGGTGAGAACAAGAAAATAAGACCATCGAGCATATCCTCTACGATTATTCGACGCTCCCCTTTATTATAAACAAGAAATAGGAGAAACACCTCTTGGCGACGCGCGACGTTGTCAACTACATCAAATGTCTAGGGTGGCTGATGAGCTAACAGGGGCTTATCAACTTGAGATGATGCACAATGAGCCTAGTGAGGCGTAAGTCGCATGTGACATCGCACCATCCACACGTTACAGATACAGATATTAGGGATCGGAATTGAGATGAAAGATGATTTTTAGACAAAAAATATGTAATATTGTATTAGCTACAATAATTTTAAAAGTACATGATGTTACAAAGTGTTTCAGGGTTAAGTGAATTATTATAATTCTGTTAAATCGTATAATTATTTTGTTAAATCAAACACCAAAAGGGTTGTAGGAGTTTCTAAAAAATACATATTTTATAATAATTTATAAAATCCAACAAAATGGTAGAAACATTTTTTATTTTAACCAAATCTAATATTAACACATAATCAAAAAAATAGATAAAAATTTAATAAAAACAATATACCCAGTCTTTCAACTAATTGATTTACCATGTATAAAATATGATAGCTCTCAAATTTGATTGATTTAACTGATTTTATTTCAGCGTGATAATAATTTCGAGAATATTCCCATGCTAAAGTAAAAGTCTAAATTCCATTTTCAGTAATTTACGACTCACCCTGTACCAAATAATAATATAAACCATAGGTTATATTAGAAATGTTGTTTGATATTAGTAGGGCATTGTTCTTCAAAAATATCTGTAATCAAACTGCTTTAAAAAAATTATTTGCGACTTCAACACCCGGTATATCAAAAACTAGTATGATGAAGTTGGATCGATGGATACTTTTGTTCAGAAGGCCCAGTACTATAACATATAAAAAAATTATTTTACAAAATTACATGTTACATCCACGTTTCCCCAAACGCATCAAAATCCACTCAAACCTTAACCTTACCTTCTCGAAAACAAAACACACGACCGGCTTTAGTCGACTTATGCTCCACGTTCCACCGTACGCCTCCTCAGCCAACAGTGGGGCGCCCCCATTTTCTATATAATCGAGCGCCAACGGTCCCCAAGTTCAGTACATCAAAGCTAGGTCAAACCACGCGATAGTGTCTGGCAGTAGCATACTTAAACCACCTCGTGTGACCTAATTACACACGTTCAATAAGTGTCCTAAGACTGAATATTTTTTAAGTGATAATATTTGTGATAATAGTTTAAGTTAATCAAAGCAAAAATGCCGGAACCCCACCAGGAAATCCAAGTGGAACTAGAAGACGTAAGAGAAATTATCTCTCCCTCAAAATTAATGGAAACCAGGGACTCTATATCCTCCATAGACTCAGATGTCTCCTTATCTTTCGATAAGAAACAAGAAAACACCGAAGATGAAGGCGCTCATATGGCAGACCTAAGCGACAGTGCCTCAGACACAGGCTCTAATGGTGGCGGTAAAGATTCCGGTTGTGAAGTTACCCCCGAAGTATCGGAACCACCCTTCACACCCCCATCGGAAGAGCTATCGGACAAAATTGTACAACAAGTAGAATTCTACTTCTCGGACGCCAACATTACTAAAGACGCTTTCCTACTCAAACACGTCAAAAGAAACAAAGAAGGATACGTCTCCTTGAAGCTGATTTCGAGCTTCAAACGCGTCAAACATTTAACTAAAGATTGGAGGGTGGTCGCGCACGCCTTAACCAGATCCACGAAGCTGGAAATCAACGAAGCCGGAACGAAGCTGAGAAGATTACAAGCCCTCCCTCAGTACGATGAAACTACCCCGTCCAGGACCGTCGTAGCTGTGCATATGCCTATAGACAAACCTACTATAGAAAACGTTGCTGAACTTTTCCGTTCTTGTGGTGAAATAGCTCTAATTCGTATCCTTCGCCCCGGCAACCCCATCCCGGCCGATGTGCGTCAATTTATCAATAAAAATCCTTCTTTAGCAGGCATGGTTTGCGCTTTGGTGGAATTCGTCAATTCCGAATCAGCTAGAAATGCTATTCAGCTTCAAACTAGTTTAGGAGAACCGTTAAAAGTTTACGAATTGAATAACGTACCTCATCCTGAAAGGAAAAAGAAAAACGTTAATAAAAAGAACAATATCAACAGTGGCAGTAATAAGATGTTATCGGAGTCCGATTATATTTCGTCGTCTTGTCAAAGTGGGTCTGAAGCTGAGGATTTGAAGAAATTTGATCCTAGAAGTAAGTTTATTTATTACATATAATTATAATATTAATTATTACATGTAAGGTGTGAGGGTCTTTAGAGTTAGAGTTGCTAACGAAATAATAAGATTAGAAACTTAAAGTTCAATATTATTCAGCAGGATAATTTCAAATAATAATTAAAATATTTTTATAATCACTATAAAGTAATATTAAATATCTGGAGATTTTTGTCTAATTTTGAATTTAAATAAATTTTATCCAGAAGTAACTTTATTTATTACAAATATTAAATAGTTATTACATGTAAGGGATGAGGGTCTTAAGAGTTAAACTTGATAATGAAATAATAAAATAGTTAAAATTTAATTTTTCTTTGGTTTGTTTTTAGTTTGAGGATAAATTATTTATGATATCGCTTGAATTTAATATTAAAAACCTGGATATTTTTGTTCGATTTTGATAGATATTACAGTCCTGACATTTAATACTATTAATAATATAAAAAAATAACAAATATTGACGTATTAACCATCTATCTGATAATTTTTTCTGTAGACTAAACGTCTCCAACAATATATCATGTTGAGATACAAATAGTGGAGATGTGGGATATAGGTACAACGTTTTTTTCTTGCTTAAATATATTTTTTTTAATTCTTCATTTAGGTAGACATTATACAGGATGTCAATTTGAAAACTTATCACCCTCAATATTTTCCTTTCAGTAGATAATATAAAATCGGAATTAAATTAATTTTCAATGGAGACACTTTCAATGAATATTTTTAACTCTCGTGGTTCAACCACCTAGGAGAGAAGTTGTCACTCTTAAAAATTTAAATAGGAGGGTCGGGTGACACATCAATTTAAAGGCAATTTTATGTAAAATTCAACAATATGACTAATTATTGCGTTACTTTTGATTTTAAAGCGTGACACTTCATTCGAAAGCTAATTTTATTCACAATATAACAAAACATTATATAATGAATCATAAACTTAAACAACTGAAAAATCGTGTAAATCTCTAACGTCAAAAAATATAAACTTTAATAGCATTTAACTGAAATAGCTGCGCATTAAATCTCTAACAACTTTAGCTTTCAAATAAAGTGTCACACTTTACAATACGTATCAGTATTTTATGCTGCCCTTTCCCACTTAATATTCTAAGGGTAATATCTACTCCTAAGGGATAAAACAATGAGTGCTAAAAATATTGGTGACATTATATTCCTTAAAATAAAATTGATTTGACTTTCATATTTTTCATATTATCTACTAGAAGGGAGATATTAAGGTTGGGAAGTTTTCAAATTGACACTCCATATATCATTATACAGTGTCAGCATATGGGATTTTTGTATTTAGTTTACGCAAAGGACACCGCAATAATCTTATGGAAATTGGGTTTCTGTCAAATTGTCTGAATTTTTGATATGTTGTAGATTTTGTCATCCTGAACAAAAGTCTCTATAGGCACAAAGTGCCAAAATGAATATTTTGGCAGCTACGGAGCTGCCAAAGCTCCCCTGGCCCGTTGCAAAACTATTCATTTTCAATACTATTTACAGATGTCAAAAGCATATTTTAATTATTCTAATATATAGGGTAATGTTTTTGAGGTTACTGGATTTAACCCTCATGTCAGATTGGACAAATTGACCGTTAACAGCTGTCAATACACTGTCAACGAAGAATAGACATTGAGAGTTTGGGCTTTTGAGGGAGCTGAATTCAATTCTAATCTCAGATTGGAAAAATTGACAGTTGACAGCTGTCAATTCAGTGTCAGCGAGGAATATAAAAGTTTGTTTTTCTTCAAAACCGAACATTAAAAACAGAACTGTGGCGTAACACGTTTTTCCTTTCATATTTTTTAGCGATTAGTTCGATTAAAATATAAGTGATAAGTGATTTTGGAAATATTTAAAAAATTATATTTTTTTATGAAACTTTCACGCCCTGTATTTTCGTAACGAAGCATTTTTAAGACATAGTATATATGACAAAAATACCTTCATTTTAGCTCCAGAATACGCTCCTGAAGTTATGAACCATACTAAAAATATTCACCCTTCCCTGATTTATATATCTATAAATTTTCAGATCAATCCGATATTTTGTTTTTAAAATACACCCAAATCGTTAAAAAAATTTGTTTTATCTATATGGCGAAATTACTTCTTAAAAAATAGTATATTTGGTTTTATAGACTCCATTTGACCCTATAAAACTGTTCCGGTTACCCTGTATATTAACTATAACGGACTTGTCAGTTGAAGCCAATTAAGTCAATAATTGGCAATACAGAAGAATTTAAAAAAACATGAAAAATTTACTTATTAGTTCCAAAGCACCAAAATTCTAAAATTGGTTCTCAGTTTGGTTTCTTAAAAGCAACATACATAATATTTAAAACAAAAACAAAATCTTAAGCATGATATTATCTTTGAAGCGAGTTTAAAAGTAAAATAAAAATGAAACTAGAATGAAGATATATGTATTGTTATTCTATATTATACTCTTTACAGTTTAACAGACCGTCTTAACCCCCCCTTTTATTCAATTTTTTTAAAAATCAATAGGTGTTGTCCCCTTATAAAACTTAATTTTTGTTAAAACTTTCAAGTTGATATCATTTTTCGTTTTTGAGGTAGGATTTTTTTAAATATTTTAACCCCCCGTTAACCCTCTATTTTTTCAGATTTTTTCAGAATCAATAGGCTTTATTCCCTTATACAGCTTGATTTTTACTAAACATTTTTTTAAATTTCAAACCCCCGTAACCCCCATTTTTATCTTAAGCTTTTTCCCCTTATAGAGCTTAATTTTTCCTGAAAATTTCAAGTCGATATCGGTTTTCGTTTTTAATTTGATTTTTTTTATTTCAACCGTCCTTAACCTTTCATTTTAATTAGATTTTTTTAAATCAATAGCTTTCAATCCCCTTATAGCTTAATTATAACTGAAAATTTTAAATTAGTATTGTTTTTCGTTTTTGTGTTTGATTTATTATTTTTTTTTTTGTTAATTTTATCCCCCTCAACCTCCCAATTTTGTTAAGATTTTTTTTTTATTAATAGGCTTCGTCCACTTATAGAACTTGATTTTTGTAAAAAAATTCAAGTTGATATCATTTTTCGTTTTAGATTTAGGATTTGATTTAATATTTCAAACCACCTTAACTCCGCAATTTTATTCAGATTTTTTTCAGAATCAATTGCCTTCATCTTCTTATAGGGTTTGATTCTTAATAAAAGTTTTATCTTGATATCGCTTTCGTTTTTAATTTATATATGTTTTTTTTTAATTTCAACCCCCATTCCCCTTTACTCCCCATTGTTATTCATAGGCTTTCCTCCTTTATAGAGTCAAAATTTCAAGTTATCATTTTTTGTTTTTGACTTGCGGACAAAAAACGTGACATCGGACGGTCGGGCATTTTTAAAAATTGTTTAAAATTTAATGAGAAGGATTTTGGTACACGAATTTTTAAATTTGGAACACTATTAAACATTTTTGTTCCTCGAAAGAAAACCTATAATATTCTTCAGAGACTATTATGTCAAGAGTATAATAAAACTGACATACTTATAATATGCCCCCTTCTGGGCCATGCATTAAACATCTAAAACTTCGTTCTATCATACTAAAGACTCAGTATATGATTTCACTATTTGTTATCTCTTATTATAACATAGGCCCTAAAACAAATTGGAATTGATAACTCAAAAATAATAGAGAGAGTTGAGAAATATTGTAGTAATGAACCACTCTGTATATCGTTGAATAAAAATTAACAATAAATTAAACTGTTCCTCTCCATATGTCTTTTTTACAGTAGGTATGAAGTTTTTAAACTAAGTTTACCCACATGTTGGGTATTTATGAAAAAAATCCAAAATTACAAAATAAAAAATAAATTAAAATGTAAAATATCCAGCTTTGAGTTTAAATATCTCGAAAATCAATTACTTTAAGAGTTCTCAATAATAGTACATGATTTATTTAAAAAACATAAAAAAATGTAAAAATATAGTCCAAATAGGTTTTTGGACAGTGGCGAAAAATTTAGAGGGGATTAATGTGTTACTTATCCATGCTGTACGCCACTGGCAAAGTTTATTTGACTCACTTTTTGCTTGTAGGTGTATCTTATGTCACACGAATTTAGTAAAATTATACTGAAAAATAAAAATATTATAGCCATTAAACATTTTGAATTTTCAACTCTAACACCCTGTATTGGGGAGATCAGTAATATTTTATTTAAGTACGTTTCGTTTAATCATCTTATGCGATTTAAAAAGTTACGAACATAAATTTCTATTTTTAATCAAAAATATAATTAAATGGTCTAATTAATTGATTAAATTTATCTAAAAAATTGCAACTTCATCATTCCTGCATACATAAAATCATAAATCGTCATTTTGTTCCGATGTAAGTTATAGTTTCTATTACATCAAAAACTGAAATTTGCATTTTTCCATTTTATTTTTTCCTCTGAAATTGAATGTTCCGATAAGTCTAAAGTCCAATTGCATACGATATGATAATTCATATATTCAACTTGCATTAATTAAAAATACCTAATGCAGGTTAGGTTTTGCGAATAGGTCATATTAAATTCTATTGAACATTATTTACATAACTATTTAATACGTAAAGTATTATATATTTCGTCCTTTACAAGGATTAAATTATGGTCTATAATCTGTGCGTTTGTACAATAATAAGAAACGTATATTTTTTCAAGAATTTTGAATAAATTAAGTTTAAACATACATAAATTATAGACATTGGATCAGTAGTCTTAAAATCCATGACATTTCATTTTATACATTCAGTAATTTTATCTAGTAGGTACCACAGAAAATAGAACTGGACTCAAATCCGAACCTTGAGGCAGACATATCTTGACTTGAAATCGGAATCAATCAGTCGATTAATGGAATAATATGTAGAGTGTTCCAAATACACCTCGAAATCTTATATAACCAAAAAATCCAAAAATTTTAAGTTAATTC